TTGTAGTAACGATGCTAAAGACTCCTACGACCGTGCATATATAGTCCAGCCGCGAGTCTAAGACTTATTGTAAAGAAATACTAGTTGTCAGGCTAGTCCTGTTGGTCAGGCGAGTTGAACAGTGGGGGGGAGAAACGTATGGTATTCTTCCTGTAGAGACTAATTCTTGCTAAGTCTAGGTTGCCCGGGGAGGCACTTTTGTACCTCTTCGTCCCTCGTGCCCGTCACGATGATGTGTTCAGCTAGCTTCCGAGTCCTCTTTCGGACATTGGCAGTTGTCAGGATGATCACATAGTCAATCCTTGGCAACCCTCAAAGAAGCTCGAGACAAAGAAGTTAAATGTACATCAAGATCTTGGTTCCGCATCCATAACGCTTTTCCTTTACCCTTATAAGGCTAAAGCCGGAATATGGTCGCACTCCGTGCCGATAGGTATGGGTATACAGACCTTTAAGGTTATTCGTGAAGAAAAAAGACGGTCGATGCTCTATATAGGACTAGTCGGAGGGATATTACTAACACGTGCCCCTATAGTATCTACAATTTCAATGCTTATATAGGCACTCTACCGGCGGAGGCCTCTATTAATCGGCTATAGCTGGCTAGATTAGCCATATTGTCGTACGGATTACAGATTACGTGTCCGACTAGTACTCTAGGTGCTAGCGCGAGTTTTGGTAGGAGAGACTAACTAGTCATTAGGCAAGATATTAGATTTAGATAAAAAGAAGCAATTTAAGTATCACTATACTCTTACCAAATTCTACAGGATAATTGTTACTTAAGCAGTTACAAAAGTCAGTGGCCCGAGCATCTAACGATTTGCTTTAGTTTCAACAATACGAAACCCGATATCCCTCTAATGGCTTCTTACCTATCCACCACATTTCCACGGAATTACGGAACTCGGTAGAAAAGTCGTCGAAACAAGAAAACAAGGCTTAGTAAAGAGTCAGTCCCTAGGATGATATTTATCACATTCCTAGGAGCTATATTTTCTACTATTATATAGGTGTCTCACGTGTATATAGAGATATATAGAGTCTCGTGATAGATTATCAACACTTAGTAGTACCATAGTTAACTCTAGATAGAAGACGTAGGCAAGGAAGCAACAAAGGCGGCTTCCTCACGTTCAGGAAACCCAGGTACATTATATAGGTCCCGCATATCATCTATCCACTTCTTATATATGCCTCGTGTATATCCCTAACATGTCGTGGATAAAACAATAGCTATAGATTCTTAATAAGAAGTCTTTTACAAAAGGAATTAGGATCTAGTATATCTTTACGTTTACTAACTAAATATAGGCTCTATAGCGTAAAATTCAATGCTTATCATTCATATAGTTAGTTAACCGGCAACTCATAGATCCAGAAGTGATAAGGTGCACGAGAAGACTCTAATCCTACTTTCACCATAGCACGTTTTGTCTTTCTTCGAGAGCATATACCTATAGGAGGCTATACGGCAGGGTCCGATAACCGCGATAGTAGGAAGACGATAGGCGGCCACGGCAGCACTAGTAGTGAAACACTTCACTTTGTCGAGACACCTACATTAGGAGATAGTAAGGGAATAACTCGGGATCCGAAGAGCGAATGTATAACCAATAACATTTTCTTAAGCGATATATGCAATCTTACGTACTTGTCAAATACCCATAGCCTAACGCCGTGCAACAATTGCAAAGTGATATGAATCTCAGTCTAACATATAACATAACATGCTACCTAGCAAAAGAAAATCCTATAAACTTCGTCTTTGCTTTCGCGAGAACGGCATCAAAGACGGCATAGATATGGAAGAACAGGAACATCTGTTAGTTCGTTACTTATATACTTCGAATAAATTACCCTAGCTGGAATTTAGAGCGGAGGAAGTTCATCAACTTCACCATAAAATAGCGTTATCTAAGGTGTATGAAATGGGCAAATTGTGATTATTATCATATATTACCCCTCGAGCAGACTACTTTTGTTTCATATTAGTTAGGTTGGCATAACTAGCTTTAAGAACGACCAAAGAACCCCTTAGGCTATTAGAAACTAACTAGACGTTCAAATGGTAGTGTGGCATCCAAACTTAAAGTTGCCCGGCCCGAATGGTAGGGGAGGCAATTCCTACACGTTGCCGTTTAGCCTTATCTATGCCGGGGCTTCTATATGACATAAATGGATATCTCGCCACTATACAATACTCAAACAAGAAAGATATTATACTTCGCCATACTTTGCAATGTAACTTAGTGGGCTTTTCACACCGAACACTTATGCTAGAGGGCACCTAGCTTTGAAACCTGCGAAGAGGGTTCTTATAGGGGTTATTCAGACTTTTAGGACTAATTTCCCAAGCAAGGAAGGCACTTGCCGGAATGGAATAAGGAGGATAGGAACGGAAAAAGATCCCTGGCTCCTAGTGGAGTCAGATACAACATCTGGCCCTATCTAGAGAAAAGAGAATTGTCAATCGTAGCTAGAGAAATAGTAGCAACCACAAATGGCAGTACATACTATACATATAGCAAGGACCTTTTTCCTTTGATCTTGTGTGTTGCTTTGCATTTGATATGGTCACGGCGACCATGTCATTCGCCATGTATTTGCTATGAAATCAAGTAACATTTGAACTACACACGAGGGAGCGGGGCGGATATCGACTCTTTGTTGTTCGTCATAAAAATGCCTATATAGGAACCCTAGGGCGCGCCACTCGGAGACTCTTTGGGATCACGGATTTGACGGGAATGTGTCCGATAGGCATAAACTGAGTAATATCCCCATGATTGACTACATACCTTAAACTAGTATTGCTGTTTCATTTCGGCAGCTGGTTGGATTCTTGTCTCCAGGACTACAAGTAGTGACAAATTTCAGAAGGACGCTCGTAATATCTATCCCATTCGCCATGCTCGCCCATCTTAGAAAATCCCTCCAGCCCGGCGCCACAGAGAGCAACTTTCATCCACCCAACGTCCTTCACGGTATATCCTTCGATAGGATCGTGACTATTAAGCTCCAGACGTATAGCCTCCAACTCATCGTCTTCTAAATCTTCGGGATCGTGGTCGTTAAGTGACTCTACTTTCCACCACCCATTAAGCATATTAACGAAAGCATTTTTATTGAAGCAGTCCTCAAGAGGTGCTTGGAGAACACTTTGTAATGACTCTTCATCAATAAAGAGACAGAACCTATAGCGCGCCGCTTCAACGTTGGCGAAAACAAGCATATCAGGCGAAACGCCTGAATAGCAGTTGTTGCCCATTGCTGGAAATGTTCCCGGATCGTAGCTGTGCCTGTGCTTACACCCACACCTTCGAATAGTGCTTGATTCTCAAAAACGGTTATCTTAAAACTCTCAAGGAGGTCAAGACCGTTCACGTGCTTAAGAGAGTCCGCGACATGCCACCGGTAGCGACGAAGGAACTCTGCCCAGTCAGAATCACTCCGGTATGTGCATCGATAGATAGGAAAGCCCCAAGATTGGAAACCAGCCTCGTTCAAAGCTTTCTCGAGGCGATCGGCGGTGTTGCTCGTGGAAGAACGGTCAGGTGTGCGTTCGGATGGGTTTCGAGGCTGGTCTCCACTCCTCAATCTGGCTAGTGCCGCTAAAGCTTTTTCATGGAGACTTGCTGAATGATCTGATGTCATCCTTTGGATTTGATATTCTTGTGTAAAATCTTGGCGTTTTAGTGAGGGCCGTTTGATGCCAGTAAGAGGAATCGCACTTTGTCGAGTGGAGAATTTCAGGTTCCAGACTGAAAAAGTGAGTGTCTGGGGTCTGAATAATAGATTTCTAGTCATAGGCACCATGCTTCTGTTTAGAATTTGGTAATCAAATCATATCTGTCCGAGGTTTGGAGGTTTGACTGGGTCGATTTAGTTCTGGGAGCATGGGAGACAGGTGAAGAGAAAGGGGAGAGGCAGGATGGACAAGGTGTCAGATATTGGAAATGAGCCTAGACCTCGCCATATTGCATGAGCCCGTATATTACGGCAGACTGCAACTCATATAATGATGATGTAACATGGTATATATTACCTGTATTCAAATGGAGAAGCTATTCCCAATTTACAAAACTACTATAATAAGTGAGAGAGCTCATAATTACTAGAGCGTGCAGAAGAGATAGGGAGAATTACGCAAAAGAGGATATAGGGAATGATTGGGGGCTAGATTGAGGTAGAAGACTACTCCGGAATCCTAACTGTTGTTCTCATGGAGAAGGCATGCGAGATATATGGCTTATACCTTTCGCCTGACCGATTACGCTCTGTTCAGCCTATAAGGCTAAGCCTGGCGCTTTCATGTAATACTCAACCTCGGACGGCAAGATTCCCGGCAGGATCGCAATCGGACAATGCCAACCTGCCAATGCTATCTATATTCAATGTACAGAGCAGTGGACCACCGTAGAAATTATCAGCCTGCTCATACATTTTATCCAATAACCATACCGTAACAATGTTGCCCTTACTAGTAGACGAGACAGAACAGGAAACAAGCAAGGCTGGACCAGCACGGAAGTACACGTTCCCTCCATCTCCTGTCCGCATCACCTGTTCCTTGTCCCTCTGTGTCGTCCTCTGTGTCAATTGACCGTAAAGCCAACCAATGCTTGGATCAAACGCCTTTGGTACTACAAGTGGGAACGGCGTAGATATCTGGAATCGGCTGCGCGACAGCCTGTGGTAGATCGAGGTGACTGGATGATTCCGAATTGAGGCGAGCGGCCTCAGCCAAGTTCGACAAGGCTCTCGCGCGGTGTGTCGACTCCAGGGCAGATTTGCTGCCTCGCTGCACAGGAATGATTGCCCTGAAAGAGTGTAGGGTGAACGCGCCTGCATGCTCAGAGGTCTACTATGGACCGTCCGATTGATATTTAAGGCGGTGAGCCTGAAATTCCGTGTTACGGAGTAGGAGAAAGTGCTGCCTCATCTCGGGCGCCTTGGTCGGGGCTGAGAAAACAAGGCTAAACGAGAGAGGGCAACACAGGTTGTCGAGGCGGGATCGCAGAGGAGCCGACAAGTCACACACTGGGCGTGGGGGTGGCGGAGTGCAGGAGCTAGTTGATCCGGATCAATAGCAAAAATGTCTCAGTATGAATGCGTGCATAGATGCCCTATAACTATGGAGTAGAAGCGTGATAAAACGGGTATAGAAATTGGAAATATGATTGGAAATATGTATCCTATAGATTCGTTGTGAGGGGGTGGGTCCAAAAATTCTACACCGCTATTCCTGGCCTATAATACCAAAAATGTCCCTCTATTCAACAACTATCCGATATGGTGTAATCCAGGGGGACAGCGGAAAGACCACGGTTCTGCGTGGTTTTGTGGGGGATAATCGTGGTGATTCCGTATAGGCGGTTTTATAGATGTAATTAGGACTAGTGCCATATGTCCAACTGGGTTTAGCGCACGATTGTCCCGATCTTGCTACATGTCTACTATAAGCCCGGCGGCTTTATCATGGGCGATAATTGATTATCATTATTTTGGCTCGGAGTGGTTAAGTATCGTACGCTCCCCCTCTACCTAGATCTCAATCAATCTTTCCCCTCCCCTTCAAGACCACCGCCATCAAAATGCGCCCCCCAAAGCCACCAAAGCCGGTTAGAGACTGGAATGCATTTGTCCGCCAGCCGGATCCAACAGTCACGACCAATAAAGTCTCATCGACGAAGGAGCGGTTGAAGGGAATCCATTTTAACTTTCAGAAGTATTATACCGTTACTTATTTAATATCTATACTTTAACTAACTAAAGAACTTTCAGATGGGTGTAAGAACTTGACAACAAAGACTATAAATATTGGCTTGAAAATATCACGCTAAGGGTAGTTTAAGGCTTTTTTGTATGGTATTTAGATAAGTATAATATAAACTACAAGTCTAGCTTTATGATAATTGTGCGTTTTTTCAGAATGTACTAGATAGATAAAAGGGGCCTTTGCCTTCCTTACCAACTTGGAAAGGACATTAGTTCGGTATGATTTCTATAGTCTTATCCTTAGCCCTTTACTTACTTAAGAAGCTAGCTCAATTAATAGCTATAGAGTATAACCTTAATAAGACCGCGAAAGAACAGCCGCCCTTTAGTATTAATAAGGTATTTGTTATCACGCGTTATTTAGTGGCCGCTTACGATATAGGCTTTCCTACGGTCTAGGTTCTTTTTTAATTAAATACCCTACAGAAAATGATAGTCTCGACTTTAGCCCGACCTAGAACCCTTATACTATCTTCCTATTACGAGGAGGAAAATGATACGCTAAAATAGAAAGATATTAACCTATATATAGTTAAACACCCCGAATATCCTAATGCCTAAGTCCTTCTTATAAGGGTTAGGTATAGGCTTAATAAGGGAAAGAGAAATTAAGGAGCCCCGTGAGTCCTAGTCTTTTGCTACCTACTATAATTTAGTCTAACTATTAGTAGGCCTACATTTACGTATACTAAAAGAAACGATAATCTCGGACTATATATTATTTAGGACATACTTATATATGCCTTTCTTAATAATGTATTTATAAGCCCGTATATTAAATGCCCTCGAGATATTTAGCGCTTTATAAACGTTCTAGACTATCGCTATAGCACTCCTATTCATTTTAAGGATAGCCTAAAAAATATCCCTATTTTTAGGCGCGCTATAAGAATAAAAGACGGAGCTTAGGCTACTAACTATAAGGTCGGCTTTTTATATTCGTAGGTATAGGAATACGAAAAGAAGGCTAGCGTAAAGGCTGGATTTGTAGACGAGGGATCACTCTATAAATACCGTAAAGGCGTAGCTAAAAACTTAAGTATAATTAAGAGAATCTAGAGATCGATAAATTAGATACTAACAAATTTTAGGGAATCTTAATAAGCACTTACGTAATATAATTATAGGTTATCGAAAAAGTGTAACGTTTTTAAATTACGTGTCTATATTTAATAATACTTAATCTATTTTTATATAAACTCCGACGAGAGATTCTTTATTAAATCTCGTATACTATAGAAATCTAATACGAGATAAATTAGCGCTATAACACCTAAATACTAAGTAAAAAGAGTCTATCGAAATGGATACCGAACTTTAAGACTTAAAAAAGGCGGTTAAGTTAACTAGAGACGAACTTATATCGGAATTTTATAAATTGAAGAAAGCGGAGGGAGCGTCGGACACGCGGTTCACTAAAATGAAGCGACTATAATAAAAGATCCGGACGAGACGAAAATAATTAGAACGCCGCGCTTAAAAGGTAGCCCGGAAGGAATTCTTCGATAGTATTAGTAACCGGATAATTAAGCAAAACTAGTAAGGTACTCCGGTCACTTTCACTCTAGACGTTAGTACCATTCAGCCGGAGAGAATTACGCTTACCGAGCTTAAATTTAAGAATAGGGATATCGATACTATCGATAATATAGAATTAATTAAAGATCGTATTCGGTCTCTCGAGCTACGACTAAAACTAAATAGCCTTTATATTCCTAAGGCCTTAAAAAAGCGAATCGTTTTTAAAGGTGGACCGAAGGAAGTATCGAGACGAGTAGTGATCCTAATAGAAAGCTTATCTAGGCTAGAATATCCTATATATCTAGGGAGTCCTAGCTTAGGTCCTATCGCTAGGCGATATTAGTACTCACGAAAGGATATACTTTAGGTTTATTTTACGACTTATCGCCTACTATTCTTTTTTAAAAAGTATGGTCGAAAGTGTGATTAGCCTTATTACCTTAAAGTTCTCTTCACACTTTTATAATATAAATATTACCTTATAAACGTCTATAAGATTACTTTATAGGAAATTTGAATTAGGCTATTTATAGTATATCTACCTAGTATTTCGATCTAGTGATCTATTATAGTTAGGTAACTTTAAGTATACTAGAAATTTTCATACTTAGGCTCTTTTAAGAACTAGGACCTTAATAGTAACGATTCTAATTTTATAGATAAAGAATATGTTTTACCTATAGAATTCTAGAGTTACTATATCACGAATTCACTCCCGACTATTATATATCTCTTCTAGTATATAAGAGTCATCTAGCTAGCCACTATAAGATTTATCTTTAATTTGTAAATTAATTTAACTATCTTTAATTATCTATTGATTTTCGTTCGAGTGGAACTTTAGGAACGAAATGTTCTCTATAGCTACCGGTGCGAGCGTAGTGCTAAAATCCCCTATTCTAGAGAATATAATATATAAACCCGCTCTATAAAGTTCGCTAACTTCACTTAAAGTGAGTGTCTAAAAATTGAGTGTATCCGAATAAACACGTGTAAACCACCGACTATTATTAGTATATAAGTTAGCTAGTATAATATTATCGTATTATCGGATAAAGTACACTATATTAGACGATACGTCGAAGAATATCATAAATAAATTATAACTTAGAAACGGCCGGTAGAACGAATAAAAGGCGTTAGGGCTTACGTTAACCCGATAGTAACACTCTACTATCGACTAATATATAATAGTTATTAGTTTATTTTAATTCGATAGCTTAGTGTTTAGTAGTTACACGTTCGGATATAGCACCGGCTAGGGCTAGTATAGAACCATTACTCTAGGGGTCGTCGTTACGTAGTCGAGATCTATAAGTGCGGGAATCGTTAGCGCTAGAATCGTTAGCGCTAGAATCGTTAGGGCGGGAATTGCTAGGGCGGGTGTTACGTCTATACGACTCCTATCATCGAAGTCTAGGAAGAATGACCTAAAAATATCCCGCTTCACGGCGAATAAGGTCATATTTTCGCGCGTAGGCTAGTTATTTAAATATATATTATATAAGAATAGGTAC